ACATAAGTTGAATACATTGCACATACACACACGTACTTCTGTGGAAGGGTCACCAGACCCGAAATGTTAACTCTGTTTTTTCCTTCACAGATGCTGCCAGACCTGCTGAGCTTTTCCAGCAACTTTGTTTTTGTTCCTGATTTACAGCATCCGCAGTTCTTTTGGTTTTTATTGAATACATTGCAGTTGTCACGCCTCACAACATTAATTCTAATTGTACCAATAATTTGAATGTTACTACATTAACACTTTCAACTTCTTAATCATGTTAATTTGAAGCTGTTTCACCTCAATCTATTCAACACATTTTAACTTCAATTGATTACAAACAGCATTTGCAATATTGACAGAGACTACACATAAAGTCAGGGTGTGTAGGCCAGTAAATGAAATATTGCAGGTTAAAAAATGTATACATCTTCTCCAAGTGGTCAAACTGACTGAAGTGTTTCAGGACACTGAAACTACATTTGCAAGGAACAAAACACTGCAACAATCGCCTAATGATATATTGCAACGTATGATGAGTGTGAAACACATCTTATTCGAGTCTTGGTACTGTCTTTGAAGAACAAATATCACAGTGGCTAACATTTGCATGGTAAAACAGTGCTACCTTGTGGCATTCTTCTTGTTTTGCTTTAATTTCTTCATATTAAGCTATCCATTCACACATGGCAAAAATAATAAAATCATGGCAATGTAAAATTGACCTCTTTTAGTAAATATAGCCCCATGATTACAAAAGAAAAGCCAAAACATTGAAATACCTACACTGAAGGCAAGATTATTTCTAACCTTTTCATTTACTCTTAATTAACAATGCTCTAAAATGGAAGGCTAATTAATGCCAATGTCAATACAGTGGGTCACTTCTGAGAACTTCCTTTATTAGCCTTTACATAATGGAAAACATCACAGGTAATTAGATACTGTATAACGAAAGACAAAAATAGCTTGGAACTCACTCCCACATATTTCTCCGTATTTATTTATGGAAAAATATAAGTTAACATTTTAGGTGCATGTTCTTTCTCAAATATTTTGGTTTGTATTTGTAGGTATGTAGTCATCTTATTCTATTAGCTTATTGACTGGCTACCATGACAGAATGTTAATATATCAGGTAAGTTATGGATTTTTCAATTTATCTCTGGCTTAGTCAATGATAACACAACTAGGTCACAGTAGAACGGTACGCCACGTTCTGTGGCCTCTGGATAACTGTCCCTTTAGACCACAAGCATGTGTTACATTGTGGAATTCAAGCCATTCAAGAGATACACGATGGAATAGAAAACACTTCACAACAATGAGTAATGTGCAGAATCTCTATTTTTCCTCATTTCACATAAGATCTGCTGATTTTAAAAAAAAAGTCTAATGAGGAAATAAAATTATCTCATTTATCAGAGGAATGAAGCATTCAGGTGGATATCTGACGAACAGTACTATTGTGAATGGAATACAACAAACATTTCGTACCTGAACTAAGTTGTGAGTTGTTAGCATTCCGTGATTATACAATTGTCAATTCTATCAACCAATCTCAGTCTTAATTGATGGCAGTGATTTCAAAGCAAAATGTCTGGTTTGAATTAAAACTGAAGTAAAACCTTGGCGTCTTTGTATTTGAGAAACAGCAGCATTTTAATTATGAAAAAATGCCTCAGCCATTAAGTTATAACAATAGAGATAATAACACACAGCAGATGCATCATAACACAAATATCTAATGCACCCATCTGAACACCCTATTGCCCACCTTAGCAAAGTTCATAGGGCCAAAAAGGAGTTTCTAATTACCTCAGCAATGACAAGAAACAATGCCACTGGGTTTGTAATGTAAATGGCTTATTCTTATAGGACTGGATTTTTCCAACAGGTAAAAGATCCCACAGCCATGACCAAAAGCAGGATGCAAGCCCTTGTGGGCTTTCAGATGCAGCATGGCATTTTACTAACAGAGATGACCAACACTAAAGCTGCAAGAAGATGAAGATGTCTCCATTTTGAGGACCCACAAAGAAAAAGGTATGTTTTTAATATCTGGCAGTCTGATATAGTACAAAGGTGATGCATATTTTAATCATAAGATGATGTAACACTGACATCAGCAGTCACATGCTATTGAGACACTGAGAAAAGAGGATGGAATAACCTATACTAAAGAGCTGTACTAAGAGATCAGAATTATATGTGATGGTGTGTAAATAGAAGAGTTTGCAGAAACTCCTGAGAGTTAGACAATTGTCATCTTCAGGTAGAGTGGAGACAGTACAATCTGAGGGAGCAGTCTCTCAGCAGTGCAGAAGAGATCACAAAAAAGTTCCAAACCTTGTGGCATAAGGACTGCTCAACGAAAGGTTGTATCAGTAATGACAGATCAAATCATCTGCAACATTGTCTCGAGAGGTTCTCATCTGTGCAATTCCAGGAATATTTAAAATCAATCTTAAATTATTTTAGAAAGCAGATAAAATGTAATAGGGAAAATCATGACTCTCAGACAGGAGTTTCATATTAGAAATTTCTATCTGTTATTAAAGAAGCAGAGAATGTGGGGGAACTTTACATTGCAACAATTACTCATGGGACTTCTATCTTTAACAATAGTCCTTTATTATTGTAGGCTATTTCTGCTATGGTCAGTGTAACTCCACATTCATTATTTTTATTCTGAATATTCCAGGAACTTTCATACTGAAGCTTGCTGATTAAGCCTTACTTAGCTTTAGGTTTTACGATTGCATATTTTAAATATATACCAGAATATGAGATAACTGAGGTTCAGTACCAGACTTGTGATTTAGAATTTTCACACAGTAATTTATGGTCTCAACAAGGCCAATTGAAAAGAAATTTGAGAACAATACAAGATGGGATATCAGCTCATTATGAGTGTTTTATGCTAATGGTGATGATCAATTAATTCTCAGATTATTTACTTAATTAAAATAATTAAAACAATACTGAAAGAAGTCAAAGTCACCCTACTGAAATGGACATCCCAGAAACAAATCAAAGATCAATCAGCACTAGAAACGTGTTATGTAGCATAAACAGACTGCTTCACCAGCCGATGACTTGGTCCCTGTCACAATTTTACTTTCAATCTAGCTGTGCAGTGCAAATCAGGCATGAGAAACAATACAGAAAACAACAAATGCTGGAGATCACAGCGGGTCATCTAGAATCGAAACATTAGCTTGCTTTCTCTCCGTAGATGCTGTCTGACCCACTGTAACCGCCAGCATTTCTTGTTTTCACTACAGATTCCAGCATCTGCAATAATTTGCTCCTACATGTAAAACAATACTGCTTTGATAAAATAACCTAATTATTAATTAGTTGCAAAAACTCCTGTGAGGTAGAATATATGTTGACAAATATCAGTTCTGAGGAAGGGTCACCGGACCCGAAATGTTAACCCTGATTTTTTTCTTCACAGATGCTGCCAGACCTGCTGAGTTTTTCCAGAAACGTTTTTTGTTCTTTATTTATAGCATCCACAGTTCTTTCGGTTAGAATTGATGATAAACCAGCTTGTTTTAAACAAAACCTAGGTTTATATGTAACATTTCACTTGGCAAACTTCAGAAACATAATAGGTGGTAAAAATGCCACCACAAAGCTGTCATGAATTAGCAACACTTTTTTACAACACGTTGTAATGCTTTGAAATACCTCTGATTCTTTCTAACAGAACATATACATTTGGCAGAACCCAGTTGGGAATTATGCAAGGAATATGTCTATTCATAAGATTTTCAGACAAGAAATCCCTACCTCCAAGACCTTTCCAGTGATGAATTTGCCACAGTCTTCACATTTCACACCAAATAGACTCTGATAATCCTTTTCACAATAGGGAGCACCATCCCTATTAGAGGTTGTGAGTAAAAGGAAGATAGACAAAATAAGAACACTATCATAAAGTACTGCAAAAGATTACTAATAAAAGCTGAAGTCTTTGCTCTTGAAAACTTATTAACAGAATTAGATTTAGTACCAGATACATAAGGTTAACTCAGATCTCTTAAATATCAATACCATCAGTTCTAACAGGACATATTTACAAGTGCTAACGGAAGATAAATATTAAAAGGCAAAACTCATTTGCAGTACAGTGTGACTTAAACCATTTTTAAACAATAAAATGAATTTAATCATGCTTAAAGTTTTCACAAGATCACAAGATAAATATGAATAAGGAAACTCATTTGCCCACCTAATGTGTCTCAAAAGGTTTTTGCTTCATGTGACCTCACTTGGAGTCCCAGTGCAGGTGCTGACAGTTCCTGGCATCAAGGTTCAGCGAACACAGATGTAGCCAACAAATTCACTACTGAACACCATCAAAATGCCAGGGATCATTCGTGAATCTCTGAGGAGCTGCTGCGCTACTCACAAGCCAGTTGTCTCCCAAATTGAATCAGAGATAGTAGGAACTGCAGATGCTGGAGAATCCGAGACAACAAGGTGCAG